TTCAAACGGTGATCTAACAAACCCTTTTTACATATTTATCTTTAGCTATTTGTGTATACATCTCTTTGTGGGAAGGCATTCCTAAAAGTGGAATTGCTAAATAGAATGGAGCAAGCATTTATTTCAATTTTGATTGAATTGTACTTATGCTTTGGTTTTTATTGTTTAGCATCTTAAATACTGACAAGATTCAAAAACCAAGAGTTGGCCAAAAAAAGTGCATAGTTAGCTGCTCTTATCCCTCTCCCTTCCCTGGCCACTCCTCGAGGTAACATTTGCTCTTCTTTTTCCTTTTCTTTTTTTCTCTTTGTACAGTCCTGGGGTTTGAACTTGGGGCCTGGGCACAGTCCCTGAGCTTTTTGGCTCAAGGTTGGTGCTGTATTTGAGCCACAACTCCACTTTCTAGCTTCTGATAGTTAATTGGAGATAAGGACTTTCTTGCCTAGGCTGGCTGTGAACCTCTATCCTCAGATTTCAGCCTCCTGAGTTGCTAGGATTTTAGGTGTGAGCCACTAGTGCTCAGCCTTTTTCTTTTTATTCCCCACCCCCAAAATATTGGTACATTTCAAATATTAGAAGATAGCATGCATTCTTCCCCTCCTCGTCCTATGTGTATTTACAGCACTTTGAGGTATCTATTTGGGTTTGCTGAATCTTTCCAATTCTTTTTCCCTTATATGTAACCCAGGTTGGCCTCAAACTCTCAATCCTTCTGCCTTAGCCTCCTGAGTTCTGGGATTACAGGTATGTGATACCATGCTTTCTAGGACCTTTATATATGCTCAAGGAGAGAAATCAAGAACGGAGACTACTGTTCACATTTTCAGGTAGCTGTCTCCCATGTCTCTCACACCCTACAAAAGGACAGAGCAGGCCAAGAGCATAGGCAAGCTAAAATAATAGGCAGAGGCAGGGAAATCTGAGTTCTAGGACCCAAGAGGCTCTAGGTAGGCAAGTGCTTTGGACATATTTTCCCATCATACAGGGACTCCAGGCCTATGGCATTTTTGCATTCTCTCCTCTGCAGTGAATTATTGTCAGGTCCCTTCTGCTCCAGACTAGGTGCTTAGTGTAGTAGGTAGGAAGATGAAGCCCTGTGTCTGTGCATCTCGGAGCTCATAACTAGTGGGTGGCAGCCTTCAGATCTCCTCCCCACCCCTTTAGAGCTCTGTCTCCAAACCCCTGTTGTACAAAGTTTCCCAGACTCCTCTCCATTATTTGTTTTCCAGTCACCAAATCTCATCTTGTCATCATAATTGTGCTTGATAAGCCAGGCACCAGTGGCTTACACCTGTAATCCTGGCTACTCAAGAGGTTGAAATCTGAGGACCATGGTTCAAAGCCAGCCTGAGCAGAAAAGTCCATGAAGCTGTGGTTCCAAGTGGTAGTGACACCCTGGAGTGAAAAAGCTAAGGGATTTTGCCTAGACCCTGAGTTTAAGCCCCAGTACTGGCATAAAAAACAACAGGGCTGGGATGAAGCTCAGTGGTAGAGTGCTTGCATAGCAAATACAACAAAAAACAAACCAAGATGGGTGCTCGTGGCTCATGCCTATAATCCTAGCTACTCGGGAGACTGAGATTGGAGGATCACAGTTCAAAGCCAGTCCAGGCAGAAAAGTCTGTGAGAGACTTTTTTTTTTTTTTTTTAAACTCTGGGCTTGGGCACTATCCCTGCAATCTTCAGCTCAAGGCGAGTGCTCTACCACTTGAGCCACAGCACCACTTCCAGTTTTCTGAACGACTTTTCTGCCCGGGCTGGCTTTGAACCGTGATCCTCAGATCTCATCCTCCTCAGTAGCTAGGATTGCAGGCGTGAGGCGCAACTCTTATCTCCACCAAACTATTCAGAAAAAGCCAAAAGTGGCCCTGTGGCTCAAGTGGTAGAGGGCTATCTTTGAGCAAAAGAATCCCAGGGACAGTGCCTAGGCCCTGAGTTCAAGCTCCAAGACCGGTAAAAAAAACAAAGCAATTAACATCCCCCCTATCAAAAAATAACAAACAAAAAAGTTTCTACTGGTTGATCACTCATGACAATTGCTTCACTAATAGTTCTTGAAAGCAGGTTTCAGTCTTTGTTGAAACATATTACCTGTCCCTAGGGCCTAACATGGGCCTGCACTTTACAGGTGCTTAGTAAATGATTTGTTGAGTGGCCAAAGGTAGAAGCATGCTGGGACGGCTCTTGCGCAGACAGTATCTATGTGTTAGTCTCTTGAATCTTTTCTCTAGAAGCCTCATTCTTGCTCTACCTTTCCTCGGTGCTACTTCTTTTTTTTTTTTTTTGATCCGGTTGTAGGGCCTGAATTCTGGGACTGGGCGCTGTCCCTCAGCCCCTCAGCTCTTCAGCTCAAGGCTAGCGCTCTACCACTTGAGCCACAGCACCACTTTGGGCTTTTTTCTTTTTGCTTATGTGGTGCTGAGGAATCGAACCCAGGGCCTCATGCATGCAAGGCAAGCGCTCTACCACTGAGCCACCTTCCCAGCCCTCGGTGCTACTTCTTAGTACAGTTGTTTATTAATTTCTCCCCTGCCCACCTTTTCCATCTTCCCTACCAGTCTGTTTGCTCTCAGACATCCTCCCAGTGTAGCCCTCCACCTCAACACACACACACACACACACACACACACACACACACACACACACACACACACACACACACACACATCCTGTGCAGGCTGATTGGTATCTGTTAATTAATGTCGCCTAAGGCCTCTCTTCTACCCAGGGACCTGATAAGGGGAATTGGATGTCCATTTCTATCTTTTATTACCACCCAGCTCCCTGGACACTGTAGGCTCTTGTGCCAGGAATCCAGATAGCACCATACACACGGCTGACACCTCTCTGTCCCAGCCTCTCCCCTGAGGAGGTATATCTATCAATGGTTGCCCCTGTTGCCCTGATCTCTGGTTGGTCACCATGGAGTCCTGTAGCCAGATGGTGATCCAAGGCCCAAGTTGTACAGATGGGCTATTGAACAGGAAAATAGAGGGTCAAGGTAGCCTGTGCCCTTGGTATACCCTTGAGGGTGAAGGGACAAAGTGCTGGGTAGGAAATAGAGAGACTGCAGAAGCCCCAGGAGGGAGGCCGTGGAGGGCTGGACCACTCAGACTCCAGGCAAGTCCAGAAGAGAAAGGTGTAATGCCACCAGTGTGTAGCATCAGTGGCAGTGAGGGTCACTGCACTCAGGGCCAGCACTCTGCTGAGACCTGGCAGGTGACCACATGTACACTCTCTTTGTCCTTAAGGCACCCCCACATCAGAAGGGCATCTAAGCAGGGCTAGGTCCTGTGTCAGTGACTTTCTTCTTTGATGCATTTAATTACCTTGAAAAAACTAAAATTTGTTCAAGTTGTGCATGAATGGCATGAATGGCTTTGTGAATCATCTTCTTTAGTAAATCTAGCATGGTCGGAGTTGGACTTAGCCAATGAGTCCTTGTATGTGATGGTAAGCAGTGTGAAAAATCAGTGGACTAGCCTGCTTTTCACACCCTTTCATAAATCAAGTTATTAATTGACTTTTTTGGTGTGTGTGTGCCTGCGCCACTACTGGGCCTTGAACTCAGGTCCTGATGCTCTTAGCTTTTCTGCTCAGGACTGCTGCTCAACTACTTGAGTTACTCTTCTGCTTTCAGCTTTTTGCTGGTTGTGTGATTGTTTTGTGCCAGTCCTAGGGGTTGAACTCAGGGCCTATGGACAGTGCCCACACCCTGCGTTCAAGCTAGCTTGAAGCTAGCCCTTGTGCTCAAGGCTACTATTCTAACATTCAGATCACAGTTCTATTTCCAGCTTTGGAGATGAGTTTCACAGACTTTCCTGTCTGGTCTGGCCTTGAACCACAGTCCTCAAACCTCAGCCTCCTGAGTAGCTAGGATTACAGGCATGAGCCATTGGCACTTAACTATTCATTGACTACCTAAGTTACATTCATAGCCAGCGCAATGCCAGTATGCCGTCTTCATCTGTCAGGTGAAGACCTCACCATTAATAAAGGCTTAGCACCAGCTTGCCTGTTCCATGATCACAGTGATGTGTAGTGCTCACAGCAGCTCTGAGCAGCATCCACGCTGAGGCTGGGCTCACAGGCAAAGGCTCAGGTTACTAAGTGGAAAGTCCAGCTAACAGCCCCAAGCAGCCATCACAGCACACTGGACAGGACAATGTCAGGATTCTGGCACCTTCCCAACCCTGAGTCACCTTTCACTATGGAGTCAGCCATCATAGGAGGGGGAAATTGCGGCGACTCAGTTCCCAGAACAGAACAGCTAGAAGAGAGAAGAGAGAGTGAGCCTGGGCCCAGGGCTCCACCCCTGAGAGCACAGGCTGCCTGTGAGAGAAAAATGCCCCGGACCCTGGAGGCCTTGACCTCCCAGCACCCCAGCTTGTGGTGACTGCCCCAGGCCCGAACAGCTGAGTCCTCATTCCTGGCTGGATACCCCGCATTAGGATCAGGGCTCATTTTGAAGCACAAAGTCCCTGGCCCCGCATGAGCATTGAGAGACAGAGAGAGAAAGACACACACACACACACACACACACACACACACACACACACACACACACAGAGAGACAGACAGACAGAAAGACAGAAAGAGAGAGACAGACAGAGAGAGGACCTGGAAGCTTCCTAGAAGAGAAGAGCCCTGTACTGCCACCTCCTGATTTTGCTCTGAATCCAGCAAACTCTTAAATTACAAAGGCATTTAATTAATCAGAATGCCTCTTGGAAATGACACTTGCAAAATACCCTTAAACTAACCCTCCTAACGATAATAACTGTCAACATTGACTGAGCCCTTGTGATGTAAACCTTTCCCATGAATTCCAGCATGACTCATACACCAAGGAAAGGACAATGAGTCTGGCAGTGGCACAGGGATCTTCTGCCCCTGAGCCTGACCCTACTCTGCCCCCCAGTGAGTCCTACGAGTCACCTGCTCTCCTCCCTGCCCTGTCCACTCCTGACCACTGTCTCCCTTCCCCACTCCTCCTGCAGGCTTCTCAAGTCTCTCACTTGGGGACCAGATGAGCCTGCTTCAGAGCGCCTGGATGGAGATCCTCATCCTGGGCATCGTGTACCGCTCCCTGCCCTATGACGACAAACTAGTGTATGCGGAGGACTACATCATGGATGAGGAGCACTCCCGCCTGGTGGGGCTGCTGGAGCTCTACCAGGCCATCCTGCAGCTGGTGCGCAGATACAAGAAGCTGAAGGTGGAGAAGGAGGAGTTTGTGACCCTCAAGGCCCTGGCCCTGGCAAACTCAGGTATTGGGGTGGGAGTGTGGGGGTGTATCTCAGCATGCTGGGGATCTGTAGGAGAATCTGCAGGGGCCTAGCAAGGAGTGTCTAGCATGGTGAGCAGGGATGTGTGAAATGGGGAAGAGTTGAGGGGAAGACCTGACACCATGCTCACCAAAGACTGCATGGGTGGCATGAAGTTGAAGCGACACTGATGAAGGCTAGCATTGGTTGAGTGTTCTGTAGGCCTTGATATCCAGGTCAGCGCCTTAGGGAAAGTATAAAGATCCTAGAGCTGGTCACTAAGGTTCAAATCCACAACTACCACCTAAGCAAATTGCTTTGCAGTTAAGATGAGGACAGTGAGCAGCTTTTATTCCACAAGACTATTAGAGAGGGGTGTGTGTGTGTGTGTGCGTGCGTGTGTGTGTGCACGCGCACCTTTGCACGCATGCCCTTGGTAGGGCTTGAACTCAGGGCTTCAGAGTCTCACTTGGCTTTTTTCACCTAAGGCTGGAGTTCTACAACTAGAGCCACATCTCTACTTCTGGCTTTTTTTGAACTGCAACCCTCAGATCTCAATCCCCTGAGTAGCTAGATTTCCAGGCATGAGCTGCTAACACCCAGCTTGAAGGCATTTGCCTGTATATTTGTATTCACATATATACCTGGCACATACATACTCAGTTTGTTGAGGTGGCTCTGAATTTACTTCTTTTTTACAAACCGTCCCGTGAGCAGTTATTGCAACCCCATCTTACAGATGTGAATACTGAGGCCAGGAAAATCACACAGTTTACCCATGGCAGTTAGAACTAAAAACCAACATTATCTAATTCCAAAATCAGCCCTAGCTTATACCAACTCTTTGATTCTTTTCATCCACTGCCATCTATCTACCTATTGTGGCACTACTGGGGCTTAAACTCAAGGCCTAGGCCCTTTCCCTTAGCTTTATCACTCAAGGCTGATGTCCTACCACTGAGCCACAGCTCTACTTCTGTTTTCTTCTTTTCTAGAGATAAGCTAGTTAGAGAAAAGAGTCTCACAGAATTTCCTACCTGGGCTGCCTTTGAACCACAATTCGCAGATCTCAACCTACCTAAGAAGTAGCTAGGATTATACATGTGACCCAACAGTGGCTGGATCTATTTCTCTTTCTTAACCCACTTCACCAGCACTTGAATCTACTCTGTGTCCATACTTCAAGCACCTCCACACTATGTAGGGTGTTGTTGTGCTGGGTGTTGGGGTTACCACAGGAGAGGAAACTCAAGGTCCCTTCTTGAAAACAGGTGTTGGAATGCCTGCCCACAAGGATGCAGGATAGTATGTGACAAAATTAATTGCTCTAGTCTGGGTCAGATCCACAGACCCAAGTTCAAGGTTTTCCCCCAAATTCAAATGATATCTCTGATACTAGCAGTGTAACCTGGGGTTAACTAAGTGTCCTTGTGTGTTCAATGGGGCTGTTTCCCATTATCTCCTTGGAGCACTTCTGTGAGCATTAAAGATAGAAGATGATTCCATTATCCCAGTTCTTTGCCTGGGGGAAATATTGGGTAAATATTAATTATTGGTGTAACTCTTCCAGTGTTAAGAGGAAACAGTGTTGTCCATTTGTGGTAGGAGAAAGCGGGATCCGGGATGGAGACATACAGCTGATTTGCTCCATAGGATGGACTTTTACTGAAAAAGCACCACAGCCAGGAAAGCCCTCAGCATCTGGAAAACTGGCATGGCGGATCATCTTAACACACGTGGACCTTTGAGTGTCCAGGGACATTCTCACTTATCCTTCACCCAGCTAGTGGTCCCATCCTTACTTCCCTGCTGAGTCTTCCAACTAAAAGCTCTGACTGCCCCAGCTGAAAGTCTAGACTAGAGCTGGACAGCAGAGCAGGCTGAGCCGTGGCTCCTTCCCTGTATTTCCTGTCTCTCTTGTTCTGAGCACAGCCTTCTACTAATCCCAGAGCCCTAACACCTGTCTCGGGCTCTGCTCCTGGGGAACCTGACCTAATTCAGATGAGGATACAGCTTCTGCTCCTTTTTATTAGTAACAACAGAAGGCCAAATAGTAGTTGGAAAATATTACACAATTCATTTATATATCCAGATTCCAAAAGTGTAATGTATTTGTTGGTGGCTATTAAATGCTGTATTTTGGGTGTTTTAAGTATTATAGATTTACAGAATAGCTGAGGATAAAGCAGAGTTCTATGTGTTACTTAGCCATCTCCTCTCTTAAAATCAGTGAAGCAATTTTTTTTTTGTCAGTCATGGGACTTGAACTTTGGGCCTGGACACTGTCCCTGAACTCTTTAGCTCTAAGCTAGTGCTCTACTACTTTAGCCACAGCACCACTTCCAATTTTCTGCTGGTTAATTGGAGATAAGAGTCTCACAGACTTTCATGCCCGGGCTGGCTTTGAACTATGATCCTCACATCTCAGCCTCCTGAGTAGCTGGGATTATAGGCAGCATTTGTTGTCATTAACAAGAAGTGCATAGCTTCTGTTAGGGTTCACTGTGTGTTGTACCCTTCTCCAGGTACTGTCATGTTTCTATCATGACATGTAGAAGAACTTTAGCACCTCTACCTCTTGGGCGTGGCCCTTTTCCAGGGAAACCTACAATGTGTTTAGTATCCCAGGAGTCTGAATGGCAGAGGAGGAGCCAAAGCAGCTAGAGCAGGAAGGCAGGTAGATGAGGTTCTAGATGGAGGCTGGCCAAGCATAAGATGTCAGATCCTCAATTTGGGACTCCTGACTAAATTCATTCTAGAGCCGTGATTGGCTCTCAGTGCGGGAAGGCAAGTGTCCCCAGTGGGAAAAATGAGAACATGGACATAACCAGAGCAAGAGGTGAGACCTGGCTTAGTCAGATTTAGCTCTTGGTGGAGGTGGGGGCAGGCCTTCAGTTGAGGAGGTGTCCCCCTAAGCTGGGCCAGTAGCAAGAGAAGACAGAGAGAAGAGAAAGCCTGGTCATTGGCCTTCCAGTGCAAGATGGGTAGAAAAAGCAATGTGGTATCTTACTCAAGGGTACTGAAGACTAGGTTGGAACAGGTCAACAAAGAGCCAGGCAAGGTTACAGGAGCATGAAGAATCTGTAGCTTTGGAGCAGCAAAACTCACCCATGCTGAGGAGGGGTGGGCCAGGAGGCTACTAAGAAATCTTGGTGGCATCACATAGGCCACTGTGGGTGCCACAGTGACAAGATGGGGTGACAGAAAACTACCAGAGCCAGACTGGGCCCCAGATCCCTATGCCTTGGGGGCCTCTGGGCTGTCACTCACCCTGCATCTCAGCATCTCTAGGGTTCTGTGGTGGCAGGAAAAATTCATAGCCATTGATTTTGTAATTAACAGTTTATCAATGCCATCGATACAGACTTGCTGATGGATTGCAAATAAATTAATCTTGCAATGTTATTTTATTTCATTTTTGGTTGAAGGCACCTGCCAATTGCAGCCTCCTTGGGGAGGTTGGGGGACGGTGATGGGATGGGGAGGGGAGCTGGCAGGCATCCCAGGGCCCGGCCACATTTTGAGTGATTTAGAGTACAGGAATAAAGCCATGTTTCAGTGCTCAGTTGACAAAGGAGTCCTGGCTGCCTTGGTGGAAAAGAACAGAAAAATATGGACGATACTTAGGTATGGTCTCAGTATGGCACTGCAGTGCCGGAGTCCCTATAACAATGATCATTGTGGCTCACACCTATAATCCTAGCTACTGCTGGGTGCTGGTGGTTCATGCCTGTAATCCTAGCTACTCAGGAAGCTGAGATCTGAGGATCATGGTTCGAAGCAAGTCCAGACAGGAAAATCCATGAGATTCTTATCTCCAGTAAACTATTCAGAAAAAGCCAGAAGTGGTGCGGTGGCTCTCAACTACTAGAGTGTTAGCCTTGAGCACAAAGAGGCTCAGAAACAGTGCCCAGGCCCTGAATTCAATCCCTAGGACCGGCCAAAACAAAACAACAACAACAACAAAAGAATCAGCTACCCAGGAAGCTGAGTTATGAAGATATGGTTAGAAGCCAGCCACAGCAGCTAAATCTGACTCTTATCTCCAATTAACCAGCCAAAAGCCAGAAGTTAAGGTGTGGCTCAAGTTGTAGAGTGTCAGCCATGGGTGAAAAAGCTAAACAAGAGTGAAGAGTCTTGAGTTTAAACCCCAGTACTGTCACAGAAAACAAAAAATAGTTTACAGATGAAACAATCTGAAAGAGACAAAGTTACTCAGCCACTGTGAATCTTTTCTATGTAGTTGTATTACTCCTCAGCCAAGAGAAAGGCTGGAAGGCCTCAGCTGGATATAGATCCAGAAAGTCTGGTGAATCACCTGGGTGAGCCAGTTGATGCAGCTTCTCTTAGCAGTGTGGGATCTAAACCAACCCAGCATGCAAAGGACTCACCTGCCCTTTCCTGAGAGATTCCGAACATTTACACAGCTTTCGTGCATAGCTCCCACTGTCCACCACTGCTGACACCTGGCAAGTCTTAGCTATGGTTAAGATGGTGGTCAGATATATTGAGGAAGGGCAGAAGGAAGAGAGTCCCTTTGCTTTGTTGGGCACAGACCTAACTGACCTGTGTCTGCCAGTGCATCCCTGCTCTGCTGGAATTTGTATTAGTTTTCTTCAACCTCAGTTTCATGGTCCCCAATTCAAAGCCCTCCCCAATGTTTTTTGTCAGTCATGGAGCTTGAACTTAGGGCTTGGGTGCTATCCCTGAGCTCTTTTACTGAAGGCTAGTGCTCTGCCACATTAGGATACAGCTCCACTTCTGGTTTTCTGGTAGTTAATTGGAGATAAGAGTCTCACAGACTTTCCTTCCCTGGGCTGGCTTTGAACCTCTATCCTCAGATCTTAGCCTCCTGAGTAGCTCGGCTTATAAGAATGAGCCACAAGCACCTGGCCCAATTTTTTCTTTCTTTGAAGTATTGGGGATCAAGCCCTGGCTTGGCAAGATTCCAGCCACTACATTATTCCCACAGCCCTGCCACCAAGAACTGAGAACTCCCATTGGCTTTATTCATTACCCCATCCCACAATCCAGCAAAGGGCACTCCTGCCTAGAGCACAGGCCCTGTGTCTGTCTGTTTGTTCTGGAACCAGCAGGAGTATGTGGCTTAGTGACTGCACTGCAGGCTAGAGGAGCTGGTCCTGGTGCTGGGCATTCTCTTACCCAGCTACTCCTTTAAACTGGTGAAGTATTGCCATAGATATTATCCCACTTTCCAAAAGAGGCAGAGAGAAGTTAAATAACTTGCCTCACAGCTAGCAAGTGAGGCTCACAGGATTCCAGCTCTGGTCCCTCTGGCACCTCCAGCTCTGCTCAGGTTCAAATCCTCCAGCATCTCCACAGCTGCTTCCAGATGCTCTTTCAAGAATTGTTTCCCACCAGGCACAGGGGGCTCATGCTATAATCCTAGCTATTCAAGCTGAGATCTGACGGTTAAGGCTCAAAGCCAGCGTGTGCAGAAAAGTCCATGAGACTCGTATGTCCACTTAAATAAAAAAGCCAGAAGTGGAGGAAGGGCCCAAGCAGTAAAGCACCAGCCTTGAGCAAGAAAAGCTAAAGAAGAGTGTGCATCTTGGAGTTTAAGCCCCAGTTCTGGCACACACACACACACCACACACAAAGGCAATGTTTCCCATAGATGTGGATCTGTCAAAGGTAGCCATTATATTTAATGTACTATATAACTTGAGGATAGGGATTGGAGGAGGAAAATGGGAGAGAATGATGAAAGGGGTGACACTGACCGAGAAGCATTGCACTTACAATTTGACTTATGGAATTGTAACTCCTTTGAACAACGAATTGATGATGATGATGATGATGGTGGTGGTGGTAAGTGTTTCCTGTAGATGTGTATCTGCCCCCAGGCCTGAGCCTACTTGCTTACAAGGCAGCAATCCCCAGCCGGGCCAGGCACTGACACTCTACTTGTCCTCATAGATTCCATGTACATCGAGGACCTGGAGGCAGTGCAGAAGCTGCAGGACCTGCTCCATGAGGCGCTGCAGGACTATGAGCTGAGCCAGCGCCACGAGGAGCCACGGAGGACGGGCAAGCTGCTGCTGACGCTGCCCCTGCTGCGGCAGACGGCCGCCAAGGCCGTGCAGCACTTCTACAGCATCAAGCTGCAGGGCAAGGTGCCCATGCACAAACTCTTCTTGGAGATGCTGGAGGCCAAGGTCTGATGGCCCCGCATATGGACCGAGAGACGGATGGACCTACTCGGAGACCTCCACAGCACCAGCCTCGTCCTCTGACCCCTACATCATGACTCTGTGCTGTCCCAGAGAAAGGGGTTTCCTGCTTCCGGCCGTGTGTGAAGACTCCCTATGGGCACTGGGGACAGGGGACAGGGATAGGAGGGCAGGGGCCCAGGCTCACCTGCAATCTGTCATGGGCTATTTCTTTGGTATGTATTTCCTTCTCTGTGGGTAGCACTGAAGCCTAGGTCAGGGCTGACTCCCCTTGGGACTGGAGTCCACTGAAGGAAGCACCCCTACCCCGCCAAGCCACTAAGAGGCAGCATGTCCATTGCCTGGGCCTTCCTTGTCCACAGCCTAGGTGGGAAGCACTCAGCATCCAGAACTCTGGCAGCTCAGGTTGGGAACCACTAAGGTACTCTCAAAGAGGGCAGGTCCTTGGAGCATCTTCCTGCAGAGTCTGCCTGCTCTGATCTCTTTGGGGCCCTCTAGGGGCCTCCACACCTCCACCGTCCAGATGCCTCTCTGCCTCCCTCCCTCCTTCCTCCCAACCAGGAGCAATCACTGGAGTTTCCTGGGCACCATTCTGTTCTCTCAGCTACCAGCCATTACAGTCCTGTGCCCCTCCTCACTCCCCCCACCCCCAGCACCCCGTGGCTACTTCCTTCCCCTACCTCAGAGCTCAGAGATGACTTCAGGGTCTGTTGGTGGGAACAGGCTGCCTCAGAAGAGCAGGGTCCAGGCCTCGCCCTGTGCTTTCTCTCCACCTCCTCCACAGGGCCTGGCCCCATCCAGGATACCCTGGCTTTGGCAGACGGCTGACGGTGCTGGGAGGGACGTGGGAGGGTGGGGAGAGGCCCCAAGCTTTCTTTGTCAAGCACAGGAAGGTCACGAGCAGAAATAAGGTACAGGGTAAGCCTCAGAGAGGGACTTGGGACTTCCAGCCTGCCTGGTCCCTGCTGGCAGTTGACACAAATGCCCTTCCGCTGCGTCCCAATGGACAAGCAGATGGTACCCCCAGAGGGCGGCTTCCTGCCAGTCCTGAAATAAGGACCTGGGTCCCACGCCTGGGCCAGATCTCTGGCAGGGTCCCTGCACTCCGGAGCTGCTATGTAAGGTTGACCCGCCATCCTGCTTTGCCCGGACTTTCGTGCTGTGGCATGGGAAACCTCTCACTCAGACATTCAGGCACGGTTGGTTCTGTGGGTGACAGCCAAAGTCAGCTTTCACCCACTCAAGGAGTTCCTAATCTGTGCTCAGGGGATGGCCATGCAGGGCGGAGCTCCTAACGAGGGAGGGTTCAATCCCTGGTGGAACACAAGATCTGCCAGTCAGCTATCTTCTACACCCAGCTGGGAGACTTCAGGGAGTCCTCATTGCACGCTAGCCAGAGGAGGCAGGCAGCTCTCAGTCTGCACTGGGACCCCTGTCTGGCCCCTCACTATTGTTTCCTTTGCTGTCAGCCCACACAGTGCTGGGACATGCTGAGCTCCTCCAGGAGGCTGGTGAGACCCCACTGCTCTGCAGGGCCCCTTTCTGATGTCCTCACAGTGGTCCCCCTCGCTGTGGAGAACCTGAAGTCTGAGTCACTGGAGGAGCTGATGCTGTAGTCAGCAGTGCCAGTCCTCTGGCTTTCCATGCCCACCACATTCACAGCAGAGGTGACTTGCTGGCATTTGGAATTCAGGCTGAATTCCAGCATACCGGTTAGGGGCAAGGGCCTGGCCAGCTGAGACTTCTTCATGGGAGAAGTTGGGGGTATGCTCCTGCCCCCTCCCCCCGGCCCCGGCTTATGTGTGCATCTGAGGGGACAGAAGGAGATATTGCCAGGGATTCAAGTGCTCTGCTGGCTGGTCTGCCTGTGCCAGCCCCAGCTTGTGCATCACCCACCTTTGTGTCCTGTGTCTTCTGAAGACTGTTGGCATGAGCTCATGGTGTTGGGGGTGGGGAGCAGGGTGGCCTCCCCAATAGGAGCAACAGGAAGCAGGTGACAAGGGAGCTCCACCTATGGGAAAGCCTGTTGTGCAACCCGGCTGGGTCCACAGGGGCTTCCAGAGAAAGTGGGGGTGACTTCATAGTTAAAAGCCTTGCAAGAGGTGGGGTCTCCTGGGGGATGCTGGGGCAGGGCAGTGGCTTAGTGGGAGCTGAAGGAGACATAACTTTGAAGAGACCCCAAGCCCTCAAATAGAACTTAAGTTTATCCCAAATCTGCCATTTCTGGAAAAAGGAAAAAAAATCTGTAAGGAGGAAACAGCCCTTCTCAGCTTTAACTCTGAGACAAACCAAGAAATAAAACAAAATCCAACCATGGAGAAGGTGGTGCTCTCTCTCCTTTCTAAAGGTGCCCGATGGCTTGTTCACCAGTCCTCCAACTTTTGCATGCAGAAGGGCCCTTCTCTCCAGATTTCCCTCCCCCTCTACCCCCGTCAGGGGCAGAAAAGAGACCAGGTGGGCGACAGTGTCAAGCTTGTGACTAGGAGACTGAAGGGCCCAGAGCTGTTGACCATAGAACAGCTCCCAAGAACATCTCTGTCGAGAAAGTGCTTTCTTGTCTGATAGTGGTAGTCTAGCCAGAGTGGTTTCTTGAGATGCCGGCAGCACTGCCTCCTACCACAGTACCCACTTCCACTTCTCCATGTTCTCCCAAAGTGTACCTCCCCCCAACCTTGATAGTCACATGGCCTAGGGGTCTCCTATCTGGTCCTGTGGATCTGGACTATATCCAGGACCTACTGGGGAGTGTCTGTGTATTACCTGTCTAAACTGCCTTCTGAGTGACATTCCCCTCAGCCAGATGCTAGGAGAGGATTGGGGAAGTCTGGAGGGCAGAGGTGGGTTACATGGACATTTGAACAGCAGCATCAGTGCTTGCCTTGTGTGTACAAGGCCCTAGGTTCAATCCCAGCACTGCAAAAACAGAAGTAAATATAGGGTCATAGCAAAAGTGTATTTTGAGAAGTCTGAGTCTGAGCAGCTCTTTGTAAGGTGCTCAGTAATTTCAGCAGTGCCAGGAAAATGGGACATCAATAAACATGAACCAGAAAGAGCACAGCCCATGTTTTAAGAGAAGCATAGGAGAGGGACGAAGCAGCATTCCATTCAAGTAAAAGGCTTATAGGGATTTATTTGCTTTATACACACACACATTTCAGAAGTGGTGCAGGCATCAGGCAGGGTTTGATCCGGAGGTTTGCAAAGTCAGAAGAATTAAGGCTCATCTGTTTTTGTTTTGCCAGTCCTAGGGCTTGAACTCAGGGCTTGGGCACTGTCCCTGAGCTCCTTTTGCTCAAGGTTAGCACTCTACTACTTGAGCCACAGGGCTCATTAAAAAAACAACAACAAAACTCATTTCTGTCTGCTTCAGTTTGTCCTTTGTCCTCACACTGGTCTATTCCATAGTAAGATTCTGCTAGCTTTTTTGTTTTGTTTTGTGAGTGTAATTTCATATAAGGAAATGTGGTAGGATCACATGGAGTTGTTCAGCATAGCTAATGTGTAAGTTCACTGGGGGAGAGGAGGAAGGATAAATGTGGGAATGAAGGGCTCTAGCTTGTGGATTATTAGTAAGTACGTTTTCCCCCACTCTTGTACTGGGCATTGAATCCAGGTCCTCAAATATGCTAGGCACGTGTTCTACCCCTTGAGCCACTCTCCAAACACATATGTTTGTATTTTATTTCTTATATGCTCTTGCTAACTTTGCCTGGGCTGGCCTTGAACTCATGATCCTCCTGCCTCCACTTCCTGAGTACCTGTGATTACAGGCATGAGCTTTCCTTTTTTCCCTTTTTCTTTTAAACTCTTTATTAAGCCACGCCAAACAATTCCCATGTTTTAAATAGCTCTTACTAAAGTACATTGTTTTGATTGGTCTGTTTCATCAGTAGCTGTTAATCTCTGTGTGCCTAATTTATAATTAAACTTTATCCTGGATAAAGTTTAACCATGGATAAAGTTTGTATGCATAGATAGGAGAAAGCATAGTATATAGTGTTGAGCACTATCTTTGGCTTTCAGGCATCCATAGTAAGAAATAGAGGGGAATGTATTTTTTAGAGGATATGGGCTGGCAATGTGGCTTAGTGGTAGCATGCTTGCCTAGCATGCATGAAGCCCTGGGTCTGATTCCTCAGTACCACATAAACAAAAATGCCGGAAGTGGTACTGTGTGGCTCAAGTGGTAGAGTGCTGGCCTCGAGCAAAAGAAGCCTAGGGACAGTGCCCAGGCCCTAAGTTCAAGCCCCATGACTGGCCAAAAAAAAAAAAAGAGGATAAAGTGTATGTGATAGTGTGTGTGTGTGTGTGTGTGTGTGTTACTTGGGGCATGTGTCTGTGCTGGTACTGAGGCTTGAACTGAGGTCACTGTCCCTTAGGCTTTTTGTTCAAGGTTGGTGCTCTACTATTTGAGCCACACTTCCAGCTTTTTGGTGGTTAATTGAATATAACTAAGAGTCTCACAGACTTTATTGCCCAGGGTATCTTTGAACCACCATCTTCAGATCTCAGCCTCCTGAGTGGCTAGGATTATAGACATGAGCCACTGGTGCCCAGGTCTTAGTGGATAAAGTTTAAATCATCTTCAAAACATAGATTTGCAGAGGGGTCTTGGAGACCACCTTTGTATGTCTCTAGGAAGCTCGCTAGCCCTAGGGCTACACAGCTGCGTGGCTAGATTAGGCCAGCAGTTTACAAGTGTGTCCTCTGAAGAACACAGGCCTCCATCCAGAGACATTATTTATTATCACACTCAGGGGTGATGCTGGCATCTAGTGAGTAGAGGCTGTTAAACTTCCACCTGTGCACGACAGTCTCCCCCCAACTTGAAGATTGTCCCCTCCCAACGGCCAGCACTGCTGAAGTTGAAAAGCCCTAGGAATTATCAAAGGAAACCATTCTGGAAGCCACTTTTCAAGAAGGAAACGGGATTTGGGGAGTGTCAGCTGCCGCTTCCAAGCTCCTCCCACTGCTTGATGTTTGATGCATCCCACCTGGCCAGACTCTCACCCCAACACTTCCATGTGCAGCATGCAGACCTCTGGACTTGCTGCCCAAGAGCTGAGAGGACAGAGGCAAATGTCCGTCTTCTTCCTGTCCCCATGTGGCCCTAGCTGGTGACTGTCTCCTCTGCCCCTGTGGCCTTTGCCTGAAGTGGGCAGCAGGGGTGGGGGGGCAGGGTGAGTACTGGGGTTCCACCATTCAGAGCCCAGTGTCTGAGGTGCACAAGCCAAGCCTGCCTCTTGCAGGATGGCCTAGGAAGGCAGAAGGCTTCTCTCCCTTGTCAGCCCCAGCACCCAGCACACCTGTGCCGACATCCCAGCGGCCACGATCACCAGCCAAGACACACCATGAGGCACGGGGGGCTCTAACAGGGACTCTGATATCGCCACATTTCCCCGAGAACAGGAAAATCAAGACCTCATCCCCTCCTTCCATCCACAGATATGACAAGCTTAGAGCGAGGCTAAAAGCCTGCCCGGCTTGTGGGCCAATCAGGAAGATTTGTGGATGACCCATCTGTCACTTCCATCAGGGACTCAGGCCCACCAAGACCCCATGTAAACACATGTCCCAGATAAAGCCCCCGCCACGTGCAATGCTCTGACAGTCATTTCCCAAGAACAGCACAGCCAAACACAACACTGCAAGGAACCGCAGTCTTACCCAGCATTACCAAGCAGGAGCTACGCAGAGTTTAATTCACTGCAAGCATCAGCAGCTGTGTCTTTGTCTGTAGTTCACACTGCTCTCAGCCCTCCCTGACTCAAGTCAGCCTCCTCAGGCTCCCTCATCCCTCCCTTCTCTGCCTGATTCCTTGATCAGTCAGGAAAGTCCCTGTGACACTCATCTCCAGTTAGCCAGCTAAAACCCAGAAGTGGAGGTGTGGCTCAAGTGGTAGAGCACTAGCCTTGGGGGAAAAGGGGGTCAGGCAAGGAAGGCCAAGTGAGAGCACAAGGTCTGAGTTCAATTCCTAGTACTGGCACGCACGCACGCACACACACACACACACAAAATTCAGGCACAGGCACACATAGGAATCTAACAAAGCCGATTCACTGAAGCAGAAGCTAGATTTTATTGAAGTACAAGAAATGTCTGGATGTCAGTAGCTCACACCTGTAATCCAAACTATTCAGGAGGCTGAGAGCTGAGGATTGTAGTTCAAAGCCAGCTCAGGGGAGGAAAGTCCATGAGACTCTTATCTCCAAGAAACTGCTCAGAAAAAGCTGGAAATGCCACTGTGGCTCAAGTGGTAGAGCACAAGCCTTGAGTTCAGAGGGGCTCAGGACAGAGCCCAGGCCCTGAGTTCAAGCCCCAGGAATGGCAAAAAAAGAAAACATAAAAGCAGCCGGGAGGCTGGGATGTGGCTTAGTGGTAGAGTGCTTGCCCTAGCATGCATGAAGTCCTGGGTTCAATTCCTCAGGATCACAGACACAGAAAAAGCCAGAAGTGGTGCTGTGTCTCAAGTTGCAGAGTGCTAGCCTTACGCAAAAGAAGCTCAGGGACAGTGCCTAGGCCCTGAGTTCAAGCCCCAAGACTGGCAAAAACAAAAACAAAAAAACAGCTCAGTGCCAGTGGCTCATGCCTATAACCCCAGCTATTCATGAGGCTGAGATCTAAGGATCACAGTTTGAAGCCAGCCCAGGCAGAAAAATCTGTAAGACTCTAATACACTACTCTAAAAAAGTCAGAAGTGGTGCTGTGGCTCAAGTGATAGAGCACTAGCCTTGAGCACAAGGAGGTGCAGAGACGTAGCCCAGGCCCTGAGTTCAAGCCCTATGAT